GACAATATTTTGTCAAGGGAGAGATGTAAACGAAACAGCACGAGATCCTCATAATTACACATGTTCTCACATCAGAGATAAAGGAATACACTGTAATAACGTTTAAGTCAGTAAATTCTCTGCTTTCATCCAGATCTAATAGAATCATTTAAGGGGGGAAACACACAGTAGGGGAGGATTTAACTTTTATTACATTTCTTGACTTGGGTCGATTAAACATATATTACTTTAGACTTCCCTCTGTACATGAGGGGAAAAATAAAATTAAACTTCATAACTGCATGATAGAGCCCCCCTTCTTCATGCTGCTATAAAAGAAAGAGAAGGTGATCTGAGAATAGTTAATATGAAGAAAGGGAAACTTTTCTATACACAGTAAACACGGAAATCAATCAATTACCGCAAGACTATTCTGAATAATTATGGTACCTATAATCAGCCACTTATCTGCTGAAATGCTAATTTACAGTAAGAAAACACAATGGGTGAATCTTTATATTCATGCATTGTGTTGGCTTATTAAAATATTTAAAGCTTGGAGGGTGTCTGTGTATGTATCCAACCTTAGGAGCTTGATATAGGTATACCCGCCATTCAGTGAATACTTTGTGCCCAAAAGAAGGAACTGTTGTATCATTCATATGCTTCTTGGGTTTGTTCTGAAAGGCACACATGCAACAGACCAAGCCGAGAAAGACATTTTAGAAAGGAAGCAACCTAAAGCCAGACTATTGAGTTCTTCGCCAAGGGCTTTGGGAAGGCCAAGATGATCTTTATTGTATATTAAAGCTGAGAGTGTCTCATCACATCCTCTCCCTTCTGCTGCAGAAAGTTTGTGAAGCAGCTTGATATAAAATCTTTAAAGGGATAGTCCTATTACAGCTATCCAATACAGAAAAGAGGAACATCCGCCTTTTTTTCTTTTCCTTTCAAGAATATTTCCCATTCCCTCTGAATTTAGGCGTGGGGGTGCCATTTTGCCTCTTTAGGAAAACAGCCCTTGCCTGATCCTGCTTCCTCCACAAAAACTCAAGAAGTATATCCCTATTCAACAAAGTCAACAGATCAGCCAAGTTTCCGCTTTTCTTTCTTTTGTGAAGCAATATACAAAATCTGATGTCTCCTTGCGCCTTTATGGGAATGCTCCATTCCTATTGACGTGTGTGCGTATGTGTGTGTGGAGGGGGCTCCTCTCCGTTAATTCTTCTGGTATAACTCTGAATTACATACAGAAGAAACTATTGAAGAATTTGGGGTGGATGGCTTGTCCTTCAAATCAACACTACTTTTCTCAAAAGCAAAAAACCCCTTGCTCTCTAACTTGCGACCCTCGCACACATGGCTAATGCTTCCTTAAATTTTTTCCCCTAAAGATTCCCCCATGTACCGACTTCGTGCCCTTCTTCTCCCCTCCTCCCCCCTGCAACAACTTGTTAATCACATAACTGAGTAGGGTCATTTTCTTAGTCAACAGTTACTTAGCTTTCATGGATCTCTTCAGTGGGGCTGGTGGTATGTGTGGGGAGCAGGTTATATTCCAGCTTGTGCTCAGAAAACTCCAGTGATACTCGAGGTCTTGCAAGTGATAGCCCACCCTGGATGCTAGCATGTAATATGGCTATTAATTTTTAAACCTGAGCTGTTTAGTTTCTGAAGGAGATACGGGGACTTTGGGCTCCAGTTCACGCTTTGTTCTTCCATGTACCTTCAAGGAACACAATATGCTATAACTGAACTGATTTAATACTCAGAGGACTGTCCAGGATGCCGCAACAGGAGACTGTCATAGAAGTTACCAGGCTGTAATGTTAGCCTTCGCATAGCCGTCACTGTGCCGGTTTATGGAGCACACGCACACGCACGCGCAGGCACACACGCACACGCACACACTCACTCTCTCACTCGCAACGAGCCACCACATCTATTCCTAGGCAAGAAGCTTGGATCCCCTCAGCAAAGCTGGAGAAAGGCAACACAGCGAAGGGTGCTTCATAAAGAAGTCGCAGAGATCCTGAATCCGGAAAAGTCGCGCTTGACAGACACCAGGACAACTACTGCGGACTCAACTTGAGCTGGCTCAGTAATATGATGAGGAATTTTCAAGGACTGACCCCTTTGTCCGCCTCGGTAGCACCGTCGGCCAGAAACAATAGCAGCCAGCAAAATTCATCTAAGTCCATAAGTCGCGATATGAGCTCGGGAAGAAGGGGGGTGGGGAGGGGACGCTTGGGGGCAGATGGAGGGGGTTACAGTGTTTGACGAACCCGTTTCCCCCTGCTCGGTCATGCTCCCCTTTTGTCTGTCTGTCTATCTGTCTGTCTGCCTGCCCGCCCGCTCGTCTCCCCCTCATTCCGTCTCCCTCTCTCTCTCCCCCTTTCCATTTTTGACCCCAAAATCTGTATGAAACCATTTGCTCTTTTTGCTTCGCCCCCTGCGTTAAGAATCCCGCTGCTGGGCTGTGGGCTCGCTGCCTTTGAGTAACGAAGGGGGGGGGGAAGGTGGGGGGGAGAAAAGAAGGTTGCCCTTGATGAAGACTAACTGACGTAATTAAGGCAGTTTCTTGTTGCCGAGTTAAAAGCCAACCCCAACAACATGAAACTACCTAAACCACAGATCAGCTGCATGAAAGGGCAGAAGGATCCACACTCATTTCTGTCAGAAGGGAGGAAAGACAAAACAAACGAAAGAAAGAAAGACAGAAGGAAAGAAAGACAGAAAAGGGGGCAAGGGGGGAATGGAGAAAGCAAGCCAGCCAGAAAGAAAGGGCGTCCAATTCCTCTGGGGACCCTCGTGGCGTGTCATTGCTGTCTTCCTAAGCAAAGTCAGAAGCCAAGGAACGCCAGAGCCAAGCCCTCGTCTCCAAGAAAGCATTCTTCAAATTAAGGCAACATCTTTAATCTCTTCATTAAGACCCCCTTTCCTCCTCCCCCTCCCCCCTCTTTAATAGAATCCGCACTCAACTCTCTCTGCTTGTTTGTGTCTATGCAGTTGAAACGTTTAACTGAGCTGTTGGAATATCTTGACTTATAGCACGCTCCGCTATCCCTCACTGGCAAAGTCGTTCTTTTCTGACATTATCCATTTTCAATTGCATATCGCTATTGCAGCCTCTCCCAAGGAGGAAAAAAAATCATCAACACCACCATTATATTCACGGGAGAAAATCCACAAAGGAAAGGTGACACGTGTGTGTGTGTGTGTGTGTGTCCCCACAACACTCCAAAATGCCACCCAATTTCCCCCTCTTCCCCAGCCTTTCAAAGCCCCTGACAACCAAACTGTGAAATTAAAAAGCATGTTAAGTGAACACTCAATTGCAACATGTTTGGGATTTCCAAAGTCCTCCGCCAAAAAACAGAGATCAAAGTCCTCAGACTCGGTGTTGTCTACCTCTAACAAGGGCTCAACTTCACCACAAGTAAGTTTTTTAAAAAGAAAAGAGGAAGAAGAAAAAAGAAAAAGAAAAAGAAGAAGGGTGGGGTAGGGTGGTAGAGCTTGTCTGGATCAAAATGGAAATCTATGCACCATCGTTCCTTAGCTATGCATATTCTGGCCGAAAATGAGCTGTCACCCAGGAATAAGAAAACTCAAACCAAAAGACAACTCCAGAGAAACCCAACCGAACGCCCCATCCATGTAACACCGAGGCAGCTTCAAAGTAGAGTTCACATCCATTCCGCCTGTACCTTGAGTAGACACAGGAAAACAGAATCCACTTGTACCTCAGCCATGTATCTTAGCCAAGAAATCGTCTGTCTTACCTTTGCACGTCTTCCATCATGACATCCCATTTTCTGTGCTGTTGCTGCTGTTGTTTTTTAAAAGTGTATTCCCTTTTTTATAGAGTGGTTCTTCCAGAGGAGGTAAAAGGAGCGTGCCTTTCCTTAAAAAAAAAAGACCCAAAGCCATGAGGAGTGTTCATCCCAAGAATGCTGTTCAGCTTCTGACTTGCTTCCCTCCTCCACAGTCACCTTTAAATGCATCTTTTACTGCTGCAGCACATTATATTTGCAGATCATAAAATCCACCTCCAGCGCTTACCAAGACTGTCCTGACATTACTGTTTTATGACCTTGACTTATTGTGGTCACCTGGATAATATTTAAATCAACGTTATGGTCTCTCACTTATATTAAACCCGCTAGGATACTCTCCTGAAAGCCTTAAAAGGATGAGTCCTGGGGAAAAAATACTCTATATAGAGAAAGGGGGGGGGGACGTGATTTTTGGCCGGGGGGGGGGAATCACTTTGAAAAATACCCATTTGTACATGGTTCTAAGAAATTTATTTGGCTCCATAAAGGAAGATACATGCAAAGGATACCACATACAGAATATATTTAAATAACAGTCACAAAAAACCCAGATGTCCCCCCCCCATTATAAGATATCAATACTGCTTTTATTCTTTTCTTCTTTTAAATAGATTGTTCGATGGTACCGCCTCTTGGGAAGGAAGCTGCATAACTACACATTGTGAGCGTGTTCCCACGGCCACTTCCATGTACAAACACATATGAAATTCAGTTCAGTCATTATTTTTAATCATACAATAGGCAGACTACACTAGGATATGAAAAGCAAACTTTCAGACACACCTAGCATCCTAAACATAAAAAGGCATAGAAATAGGTCCTTCGGCTTCCCCCCCACCCCGCTTTCCTTCTCTTTGTGCTGCTCTTGAATAACTTAAACATCTTAGAAGCTGTATTTTTAAAGCAACCACCTTACTCTTTATTTTACATAGAAACATTGATGCAATATATATATATATATTCTCATGCTTATACCGATGGATGCACCTTCGCTCTACAAACTGTAAATACCCAAATCATAGAACTGCACACTAGCCTGAGGTCTTGATTTTTTTTTTCCTTCTCTCTCTCTCCCCCCCCCCTTCCTATACGCATTGCATTTATACTCAGGGAAAAAAATAAAAAAAAATACTGCACAAGATTTGTAATGATTCCCCCCCTGTCCCTTCCTCTTAGTGAACACTTTCAAGTAAAATTAAAATTGGAAGTCAGTTCGCGAATTCGATTCTCTCTGTTCATTTTCTTGAGTTTCATCCTGCGGTTCTGAAACCAGATTTTGACTTGTCTGTCTGTTAGATTAATACTCTTGCTAATCTCCAGGCGGCGCTCACGGGTCAAGTACATATTGAACAAGAATTCCTTCTCCAGTTCCAACGTCTGGTGTTTAGTGTAAGGACATCTTTTCTTTCTTCCGCTCTTTGCTGTCAGCCAATTTCCTGTAGTGTTTTCTGCCTTTATATCCTCTGTTAAAAATAATATTATTATATAAGTATCTGTGGAATACCAAAGAGAGCTTCCTAGGCTTAAGACTGTATTTTTTTAAAGCAGCTTCTTTTGTTAATACAAGAATCTCTATTTTATGTTCAAACAATGCACCCAATTCCCTCTTGTTTATTATGTACAGGTTTTAGAATTCCAATTAAACAATCTCTTAAAGATAAACAATGTCCAATTTGCTTCAAAAATGAGCTGCAGGAAACCTTAAATTCACAATATTTGTCTGGCCGTCAGATACATACTGCCAGTTCTTAAGTTAATGAATTTAAAATTATGCATATTTCACAAAAGGGCTACCCTTAGTGAAACATATATGGAATTTGCACTCTCCTCAGGTGTAGAGTGGTTCTTTTTCACATGCCTGTTATGTCCACAGAAGATAATTTTGGGAAATTATTCCTGGAGTTAGGGCACTCCATGGAGGCTTCCCCCCAACACCCCCCAAAAGAATAAATTAATTAAATACCAGCATTTTGTTAATTGCTTAAGCTAGCTGTGGATTTTGCTCCACTTCGCCATCCTTGCTCAGACTTCCCTCTACAAACATACACTTATATTCAAAACTAGGACACAGGAAAATAAGGTTTTGAAAATGATGTCTCGGGGATAAATATTTTGCCTGTCTGCCTGTGTTTTTCTTCTTCAGTGGACCAGATTCCATTTCTCTGTGACATGAAGTTTCTGTGAAGTACCTCATTTTATTGTGGGTGAAGAAGAACTTTCGATCTTCTTGTTTTTTTAAACAATAACAAACAAACAAACCTACACATATGTTGTTGTTCCAACAAAGCTGTGCCTTCCTCCAAGAAGCCCTGCTTCTGCACGCACCATTCCTTCCCTGCGGCCATTGCCACACTCTTCAGCCTCGCATACATATACATAAACACCTCGGATTTGAATTTGGACATGCAAGAATTTTGGCAGCAACTGCCTAGCATTTATCTAAGGTATGAATGTCTGAACAGAGGGAAGGTGTTTTGCAGCCAGAAACATCCACGGGTTTATTTGTGTCAGATTCCCGCCATCACGATCCTGGGTCTAAACTGTAAAAGACCCATCATGCCTGCGAAAGGACAGACGAGCTGAGCTAACCCGCGTTGGTTTGCCTCGCGGTGGCCTCCACATTCTCCAGCGCTGCCATTGAACCCTGCACATTCCTCCCAAGGATTTGCTTTTTCCAAAACGTTGACACACGCGCCCGGCCCCATTTCCATATCTTCACCAGGCATGGCTGAGAGCATCAGAAATGGAAATTAAAAGACCCCACACAACAAAAGAAAGGGCAAGGGATTTCTGCTTTTTTTAAAAAAAAGTATTCCTAAAATGGCACGGTTTATGAAATATTGGATTTATGACAAATCATGACTTCTCTTGCCCAGGGGGTGAAAATAATGAAAAGTTGGAATAACTAAGTAGCAGATTTCTTAGGTAATCAGTTTCTTGAACTGACTAGCAACACGAACACAAAAGGAATCACCTTTTATTTTGTTTTGGGGTCCACCACCACTACTTTCTTCTCTTCCAAATCAAATTGCCAATGAAGTTTAGTTACGTTTGCTAATTTGACTCCTTAAAAAAAGGGGGTTTGAGAGGGCGCAGATCAGGAAGCGCTGTTTGAGGATACATTTTATAGAGATTTCTTTTTCATAACCTTGACTTTGCAATTTTTTCTTCATTGTGGCGGCTAACTAAGCAGGAAAAAAATAGTTTATTCCTGGATGTGCCAGAAAAAGACTGGAAAATACTTTTTAGGCCATTAATGAATGAGAATAATAGGAATAAGAATAATTTCTGTATATGCGCACACCTATACATGCAAACATACACACAATAGGCACGCACGCACACACACACACACACACAATCAGGTGCAAAGCAAAGGGAGTGAAATGCCTGGGTTCTTTTGTGGTACCCAACCACACAATGTGTGTGTGCATATGCACTGACGGGACATACATACATACATGCACACCACAGGTATGCATGTATGTGTGGTGTGCACGTGCCTTCACAGAGCTACACAGAACCCTATAGTTCTCTCTTCTGCTGGATTTCTCAGCGTATTCCCCAATGCTTTAGTCTCTGAGAGGATTTCAGTCCACACTCACCAAAACCAAACTAACAAAACCCCTTGCTTTTCTCTGGATCCACTTCCAGTAATACTATGGTCTATACACACGTTTCTTTCCCCTTTCACAACAGAACGCACTTGGGGCGCCCCCTCTTTTCTTCTGTGACCTTAAATAAATACTTAGAACTGGAACCCTTCTTTTTTTCCTAGTGGATCCAATTAACCACACAAAACTTAGCCTGCAGAATTATTTCAAGCGCACATGCAACCTCCAATGCAATGGTCATTACAATAGAAACCCCCTTTGCTAGAACGCCTAAACTTCAAGCAGATGTTTCACACAGAAGGACTGGGGGCTTTTTTTTCTTGCACAAACCAACCTCTGGGCGCGAAGAACGAGATTATTAAAGAGGAAGGCAGCAGTGATAATGAAACTCAACAATCAAGTCCAGCTTGAAGTGTTGGGCAAACCATTAGCACCACACTTCTCCTCCCCCGCCCCACAACAAGCCATCCAGACTTTGCAAGTTAAAAAAAGAAAAGAAGCAAGGAAGGAAGCAAGGAAGGAAGGAAGGAAGGAAGGAGCGAGCAAAAAAACCAGTTGGCTCTCGGGAAAGAGAGAAAGACGAGAGGAGAACTGGAGGCATCTACAGAACGCACATTGCTAAGCTGTAACAATCTTTGCAAAATCCCTGCACGCCAAAGAGCCTTGGTTCCTATTCAGATCATTTCAGCACCTTTTCCCTGGCAAAATTCAGCAGAGCAAATATAAACAGACATTCTGGCTGGCAACTTGACCCTAAGCACAGTCCTCTAACGCAAACCACCCCGAAGAAACTGACACGAAAAGGTGGGCTTCGAATTCGAATAACTGAGCTTGAGCACCTCTCCATGCCTCCTTTCCAGCTGAGCTTCCTTCGAGGGTCATTCCCACTGCCTCGATTCCTCTAACTAGTCCTGGGGTTGCTGTGGTTTAGGAAAGGAGGCAGACAGGGTTACCAGGACCACTACCAGCAATTACGGTGTTCCAAGGGGCGCAAGGAAAAGTCAAGCTATCCTACCCAAAGATTGCACCCTGGGCATTGCTTTTTGGCACAATGTCCTCCTGCCTAACCACACCAAAACCAGCACCAGCACCAGCACCAACCATTAACCCTTCTTAGGATGACGGGCATGCTTCTGGATGCCGAGGCTGCGGAAGAGCCCGCTTACCTTTTGCTTCGTTGTCCGAATTGTCAGTGCTGGTATCAGTACATTTGCTCAGGTCCTTCTCAGTTTCCGACGGACTTATTTTGGCCACAGGGAGACTTTTTTCCGTTTTGATTTCGTTGGCGGGCGTGCTCTGAGGATGATCGGGCTTGGGGTTTTCAGGGAAGCCCACTTTAGTTCCTGACTGTGACAGTGGCGGCGGCGGCGGCGGCGGCGGCGGCTGCTGAGGTGGCGGCGGCGGAGGTGGAGGTGGAGGTGGAGGTGGAGGAGGTGTTGGCTGCTCCAGATGCTCGCTCCTGGGGTTGAGGCTCGCCCTGGGTTCAAAACTTGCCTCAAACTCGCTGGGTTTGCTGCAGTTTGACGCCTTCTCCAGAGAGGAATAGCCTTGGCTGGCTCGGTAGTAGCTAGGCACGGGGACTTCATGGTCACTTAGGCAAGAGTCAGGCATCTGATTGGGGTAGAGGGTCGCCTCGTTGGCGCTTTTAGCTCTTTTGTCAGCATTGTACATACAGCAAGCGTTTTCTTCCTTGACATTGGTTGGGAACGAGCAGGAGGGGAGTTGCCTCGCAACAGGTTGCTCGATTCGGTAAGTATTTTTGGGGTCACACCAGGTGTCTAGCTGAGAAAGGTAAGATGGATAGGTGCTGAGAGACAGGCTGGCGTTATTCACCTCGTCTCTTTTGGAAAGAGACGGGATTATTCCACAGTTCCTCATCATTCCACAGTTGAAATCGTTCCCAGACTGCATGTACATTCCTTGGTTAGAGGAATAATTCTCCCCTCGGCAGGTACCGGCTAACGAGTCCATCAAAAACGAGTTAGAAGTCACATTGTTGGGACATGACATTTTCAGAGAGGGATTTTAAAGAGGAATACTACAGCCAGGGGCTGACATCTTTTTTTTAGGGAAAAATATCAGCACCATAATTATCCACGCATTGGTCCCAACCACGTGACGGCCAGGCCAATGAGGATTGAAAATGGCCTTGATGATTCAGACGCCGGTGACGTCACCGGGGTCAAGTTGTTGGGAGCGGAGAAAAGCAGCGTGGAGCAACAGCGACACCTATCAGTTTCTGGAGGGAAGGGAGCCCGGGACCTTCACGTTGAACAAAGGAGAGGGACCCCTTTTCCTCGAGTTTGTTTACCAATGAACGAACGCGTGTCTACGGCAGAGAGGGGGGAAAAGAAAGGCAGCGAAGGCGTAAATAGAAGCAAAGTCAAATTCAAATTAAAAGGTCAGCAAATAACCCACCTTCATTTCCCCTCCTTTCTTTCATCCTTGTCCTTCCCCACCCCGTCCTCCCCCCTCACATGACGCGGGGGGGGGGGTAATCTTTCCTAAAGCTTAAATTAACTTTTTGCATCTCTTCTTAGCACGGATCCCTCTTCCTTGCTGCTTACCCTCCGTCTCACCCCACCCCTAGCTCCACTTGAAATGCATGGAAGATGCATTTTGAGGTATTTCTGTTCCTTCAGAAACACTTTGCTGGAGTCGTTTTGATCGTGAGATTTTGAGGGTAATTCCCAAAAGTCAAGGAGTGTCAAAGCATCTTTGGAATTCTGAGGCATTTTGGACAACCTGTCTAGACCCAGGCACATTTGAACTACAGTTGTTAGTTCAGCTTCTTAACTTCAGGTGCTTCCTGTCTGAAAAACTGTTTGATAATTGAAATTGGAGTAATTTGAGAGTGTATATTATTCAGAAGATGCTTTCTTTTCTTCTCTTTCAAAAACTTTCTGTCTGCTGGTCTCTCTTTCAAGTACTATTTTAAAAAAGATAGCCTTCCCCAAATTCTGAATGAAACGGACTTGATTTTTATTGTTATTTTAAAGAATCATTTCTCTTTTCATTCATTCACTCACTCACTCATAACTCTAGAACTCTGCACAGGTTTGTAAGAAACTTTACAGAATTGGATCAAAATAAATATATCAATGAGGGAGAACACAAAAATGTTCTCTATTAGATAAGTGCAAATCTGGTCTCCCTCCACCTAATCAGGAAATTACTCCAATAAAAAAAAATGAAATTTCAAACTATGCGATGTTTTAGGAAAGTTTTATTAGCAGAAACATTGTAGGATCAAACATGGTTTTCATTTGAGCTTATTTTAATTGATTGTATTCCCAGCCAAAGAAAATGTTTATGTCCTCTTACCTTAATGTCCGTGTTTATTCTTTATGATCTCAACTCTCTCTCTCTCTCTCTCTCTCTCTCTCTCTCTCTCTCTCTCTCTCTGAACTTTATGATCTCAAAATAATAACTTGTATTTCTGATATAAAGATATCTTGAAGTAGATGTTTTCCTTGTGGCTATTTTCTTTATTAGACATTTTCTAAATCGGGTTGCAATTAAGTCAAATTGTTCTTTAGTGTATATTAAATTGGCTAACATGTTATTTTCCTGCTTTGCCAATGCTGTTTATAGTGTTGGAAAGAAATTAGACATTTTCTAGCTAAATAAAGAGATGAATGCTAATAGATGATGATGTTCATAATAATAATGACAGCAAGAACAGGATTAGCTAAACCGCTGGAATCCCAAAATCATTATGAAGGATTACAAACCTTTAAATGGTTCATAGCAATTTTCAAGGGGTGTGTGGGAAGTTATTTTTAACGAAAGAAAGAGTGAGAAAAAAATGCTTGAGAATGCATGGGCTTGGCTAGGAGAGACCAGTTTTCAGATATCTATATTCTGTTTGTGTGTCTATATGTATGTGTGTGTTTGTGTTTTCCTCACTGCCTAAAGCCATCAGATCTTAGAAGCTGGTTTTCTACACCATTGTTTTACCCTTCTTTTTGGCTGTTGCTTTGAAAATACTTACAGGCTGAGACCCCCACCTCCCACCCACCCTCCTGATCTTCAAGGGTGAGAAGTTTTAATATCTCGGGCCAAGGAAGTCTTAAACTGCATCATTCTATTTGTCTCCAGCCCCATCCACTCCACCCCCACCCCCGAAATGCAGTGTGCTAAGAGCTTCCCTGCACTTTCAAGCCGTTTGCTTCCTCTGGAAAGCGATTTGCAATTTTATAGCCTCTATTTGTGTTATCTGCATAGGTCTTTTTAAAACAGTTTGATAGAAATCGTTCAGTTTTATGATATCCAACGAAAATTCCACATAATATTTATAAGCAAAGAATAAAACTTTAGCATGGGAACCAATACTTCCTCATTTATAGGTGATGAAATTAAAGACCAATGCAGTTTGGCATTATATGGCTTTTCCCGTTCTCTCCCCCCACCCTTTCTTCTTTCTTTATTTTTTGCAGATCATGTGGGTAACTCAATAATTTTAAGCTCTGAAGCCCTACACATTTTCACATGCACATTTTTGGGGAGACCAACAATTGACCTTGTTTCCTGGACTGTCTGGGTAACAATGAAAATATGTTTCCAAGTCTTTTATATCCTTATTTACTGCCATGCATTCTTGTGTATGTTATATTCCTGCCCATCCCCCTCTTTCCAGGAGGCAGGAAGAAGAATGTACAAACTGCGCTGTGGTGAAACCTGTCAAATAATTTGGTTTTTATCCTCTTTGCAGGTCTATATACTGCCGAGGCATTTTCAGCAGATAGGAGTTATCCCCCTATCCCTGAAGACAGGACAGAGGGTGTTTCAAATGAGTGCAGTTGGTGAAAATAAAATTATACATTCTTGATCGTCCTTTGTTTTAAGTAGGGATTCTTGGTTTTTTAAATGGAGTGTGTTCATTTCAGACATCATCTCTTTATGAAAATGTGTGGCAGAATTTCCAGTGTCTCTTGCAGGCTGACGGTCAAAGTCTTTCTCAGAAAAGATGGCAATTGTAGATGGAGGGGGTGGGAGAGAAGCACTTTCCCAAGAAGCAGCTAAATGTATGCTCCAACTTCTGTCCAGATCTTTTGCTATCTGGCAGATCTGGCCATAAAGGAACACTGGGGAATGTATCCAGGAGACCGAATATTGCTTAAAGTTAAAAATAATTAGAAGTATGATAAACATGGGTCATTAATGGGGAGAGAAATAAAATTCATCAGCCTAAGTAGAACCCCCGTTGGGAAAAATGCTTTACTCTAATTGCAGAAAATAAATACCAACAAATGCTATTAAAACTTAAAAGGAGAAAGCCTGTGTGTGGAATAAAGACCCTAACAAGCTGCTCTGCTCTTTTTTCTTAAATACTCCTTCAGAAATCAGTGTAGAAATGAAACAGGTAATACAGTGTATTAAACTCAAAAGGACAACATAGATAGATAAGGGCGGGGTTATGCTGAAAATATATTATGCTGGCTGAAATGTGGACTGGGATTTATCGATGCATTGGTTTCTTGTTTTGTGGCTATTTGAATTATTTTACCAATGTAAAAGCCAGGAAGTGAATAAAACCGTCAAAGAGACAGGGGAAAACATGGGGATTTCTGCCTTTCTTTCTCCCAGTGTCTGGGTATATATGAAGCTAACTGCAGACTGTCTGCTATTGTCTTTGGTGTCTGATTGCCCTTTCTGAATGCCAAAGGCAGACAGTTCAGTTGACCCCCCTCCACCACCACCAAAAGGAGCCATGAAACCAGTTTCCCTGCCCTTCCCTTGGAGTTGCACTCTGCGCTCGTGACTGGCAGGCAGAGGTGGCCATGGGGTGGGGGGGGGGAGCTGCACACGCGCACAGAGCAAGCACATTTCTCTTAAAAGCTAAATCTAAAATCTGATTGCATGTGCCTAATAACTCACCCAAAAGCACATCTCAAACCTGCACATAATATTTTACCTGCTCCCTTTTCCTTCTAATTATTTAACTGTGAGTTATGCACGGAAAATACCTCTTACGTCCATTGTATTTTTAACCAAATTTTTCTTAACATTTTTACTGCATACATTCATTTTTGCTTCTAGGAAGTATTTGGTAGCAACACTTTAATGATTACCTTAAATTTGTATTTCTGCTTGGTATTATGCCCCATGTTGTGGAGGAAATAATTCTGATTTATGGCAAAGTACACTAGAGTACAATAACAGTGATGCAAAAATAAAACCCACGCCTTTAGATGTTGGCTTAGAAACTGTAAACTATCACCACAAGAAATCTATCAAACTTTACAATCCCTCTTATACTGCTTCCTTCTTTCGGAGTAACTTAAGTCAAAGAATTATGGAATGATATTATGTTCCTTGAGGTGGTACTGAAAACTGTGCTCAGGTTATTTCTACCCCCAACATAGAATCTTCAGCCACTAATATCCCAGTTTGAGTCTGGCCACCTTTCCTTCTGGCGGAGACCAAAGTTGACAAGAAGAACTTCCTCACAGGCACTTCCCTTACCATGTTGCCGCCCTTGTTTTCTCGCCTTGCATATGTGCATGAAGACCCGCATGTGTGTCGAGCTGCACATGCAGAAAGCGCACATGGTGTAGATGCTGCTTCTAGGAAGTTTAATGAATGCAGATTCAGTGTGAATGGGGGAAAAGATAGCCATGTCCACATCATACTTCAGGGAAATAAAAACCATAATTGCATATTTCATTTACTATCTTCAGTTTTCCATGATACAGTTGCACTTTTATTTTGAAAGGTGACATGAAAAGATTTAGAAAATGCTTTGAAACTTAAAAAAAGACTTGAGGCTTTCTTAAAGGAAGAGTTAGTCTTCTACGCATGACAAGTCTGAAAGTGCAAACCACCTTACACAATCTCCTTGGTAAATCAGCAAACAAACAGGAAAGGCTGAGGGTCAATATTATCTATATCTGCAGTTTTAAAGGAGTAAGGGATAATATTTTCTCACCTCCTTCTGTTTTTGAGCTATACTGTGACTTCAAAATATTTCCAAAATGTGCCGTTTGTGTTTGCCCATGCTTAACCCT